TATTAAAATAGAACCACAACTTATGTAAGTCCTCCGCGGTATTCGCTTCCGACCTCCTCCACGCCACCCATTGGCCTAAAATCGCCGGAAAAATCGCTGCCGAACTTTCTTCTTCCATAACAGACCCTTCTCTCCGCTCCTCGGTCTCCAACCTCCAACAACCCAACGCCAATCTCGCCATCTTCATCTCTGACGGCAGGTAAGATGGCCGGCTGAGAAAAAGTGCTCCTGGCAGCCATTAGAGATTCAAACAACGCCATTGCAAGAAGGAGACAAAGATGACGACGGAGAAGAGGAGAAGAAGGGTCCAACGGAGCCATGGCTCAGTACATCCCCACCCTTCAGTATTTCAGTGGAGGTCTTCCAATGGCGAGCACGAACGCAGAGGCGTGACAGACTCCGTGTATAAATAAAATGTTTGGTGCCTTGTTATGTAAATAGAGAGATTTGAGAACCTTGATATGTAAAAATCCTTTTTTCTGACACCGATCCATTTCCATCATATAATCTTAACCGTCGGATGAGAAAATAATCACACGCGGCACTTCTCGTCCGTTCAAACCGTGGTTTCTAAGCAAGCATGAACGATTCAACGCGGCAACAATTCTTTCGCATATTCGGACGGAACCAGCCACTCATTCCCGATTGAACCGGTCAGACTGACCGGTCCGGTTTGTTTTTCAAAACAGTACTAAAAACCCAGTTGTGGGTTTTCCAATCCACTAGCTATGAACCGACTTAATTCTGTAGCAACTCTTCGGACTCAAAGGACACCTAGCTGTAAGAATTTCAGGCTGTTTAAATTGGTTAAGTCCAACTTGGATTTCAAATGTTAGGCTCGCATAATAGAGGACTCCAAAATTTGCTTGCTTGACAATGCCTTACTTTCGAAAGATCTCGGCTGCCATTCAAGTCTAATTATTAGGTGCGGAGGGCGCACGCAGAGCTGCGCGCGCCCTCCGTAAGCAATAATCGCTCTTTTTTTTCAACTTCTCTTCCTTTGTATTTCTCTCCTTTCTTCATTTTCTCCCTCTTGCCAACTCTCTCTAAAATTTTCTCTCTAACCGAATCCGTTAAAAGAGAAAATATTACGTTGTGACCGGAGGGCGCACGCAGCTCTGCGGCGCCCTCCGCACGCAATAATCGCTCGCCATTCAAGACTGTTTGCCATTTTGATTAGATGTTTATGCTGGCACTCATCTTTCTCTCAAGGATTTCCCACAACTTTTGCCAAGTGAATAGCTAGCAACCATGCACACTTACTACATGGAGATCACACTAAAATAATTCAATGATTTATTTGCACTTTCTTATAAGGCTTATCCAATGTCATCAAACTTGACCACTGTGCCTATAAGAAAAGATATCATCCATGCACGGGAATATGCAAATCTCATGATGCAACATGACACTAAAAAAGTAATTATTTTGTGGCCGAATATTGGGAACATTTTTGAGAATTTCTTTTTTTTAAAAACTCTTACAATCCTAATTTGATGTTCCATTTTTTTTTCTAATAGATCGATTAAATAATTTTAAATTATTCAATGAGAATCTCGAATTTATGATGTTATCTCTACCCTCAAGCTCTTTTTAAATCTGCAATAAATTTTAATGGTGCTTCAAATAAAATGGTCAATCCAACATGATTTCAAAACACTCCTAAGAAGAAAAGATGTGTAGTCCAGACATAGATTAACATCCAGACTCCACCGGTGTTATGAGATGTGGTCATTCAACTGGAACCACACTTAAGCTGGCAATAAAGATAATATTCGGCGATGAACAGAACCTAGCCCAAAACTGGCATTAAATCTGGAAAAAGTGAGCTATTCAAATACTCGCACCCACCTTCATTTCCTCTTCACGTTCTAGGATTTACCGTTTAGGGTTAGCCGATAACGCTTTCTAGGTTTTCTAATGAGCTTAGGGTTTTCGAATGGGATTCGTGAAGTGCAGTACTCGACAAAGCAATCAAGCTAAGTTAGTCGATCTTTAGTAAAGAGATATCAAACTAGTTTACGGGTTTCTATTAATCTCATGGAGCTACAAACCCATCAAGCAAGAAAAATCGAAATGAAGACAAAGTGTAAAATAGCAAAACACAAGATTGCTTCAAGGTAAATAGGTAGATGGGTTTACATTTATTCCACTTATTGTTGTTATTTGTGTTTTCTTCAAAAGTATAAGGGGTGTACCTATGAGTATATTGTTTTATATCTCAAATTTGAACAATTTGTAATCATAACTTTGTATTAGAAAATAATATATTTAATTTAATAGGTTAGTGCATGCTTGTCTCATTCAATTCTTCTATATAAAGTAGAATGAGTGTATGGACAGGTGTATTGCTTCACATCTCATGTCTAACTAATTTGTAATCATATTTTGTTGTTGTAAATAATATATTTTGATTTGATCAACTTCATTTTTTCCTTGCATTGTTGTTTTATTCAACTCATTTAGGCAAAGTAGAATGAGTGTATGGTTGGGAGTGCAGATGGGTGTATAGATGAATGTATTCTCCATATCTCTTGTTTAAACCAGATGTAATCATGTTTTGTAGTTGAAAATAATTTATATTGATGTGATAAGATTTATTTGTGAGAAAAATGAACAATATATCATTATGTACAACCATATGTTATATTTATTTAGTTGATATTTTTTTATAAAATTTTTCAACATCCCTAAAGCAGTCATAATCAATATTTGATATGTCATCGCTCAAAAAAAAAAAAAACTTACTTATTTACCCAACTCAATAATCAGGAAATTCTATGAAAAAATAATATGTGCAGCTTGTATCTACGTGAATAGCTGTATTAGAAAATTAGTGTCACAATTTTAAATCTTTACACTTGTTTTGCTTTGAATAACATTAAATGCATTTCTTTTTAAAAATCTTTTTTTTTTACCTCACCATCATTTGTAGTTAGAAAGTTGAATGCATCAATAGCTCAAATCATTGCTTTTGTTATTAATTTGAGCACGTCTTCATTAACATAATTGATGCTCCGACTAGACCTCAAAAGTTGTCGATCACCTAACTGTACTAAGAAATGATTATAACTTTCTATAAATTACTTAATCTTTCAATTGTATGAAAAATGCATTAAAAAACAACATAGCACAGATAAAGCAATACACCCATCTCTGCAATTTTTTTTTTGTTCAAAGAAAATTGCATAAAATAGTAAAAAATGGCACAAATGATACTTATCACATCAAAATATATTATGTACAATAATAAAATATGATTACATATAGTTCAAAGATAATATATGAAACAATACACACATTCTACATTCTACTTTGTAATGAGAAGTTAAATAAAACAAAAAAATAACATGACATAAATGAAGCTTATCACAGTAAAATATATCATTTACAACAACAAAACATGATTACATATGATTCAAAAATGCCATACACCCATCTATACATTAATTTATACATCCATTTTACTTTGCAAGGAGAATATAAATAAAAAAGCAAAACTTGGCACAAATGAAACTTTTCACATCAAAATATATTATTTACAATAACAAAATAAGATTACATATAGCTCAAAGATAAGATATGAAGCAATACACATATTTGTACACTTGTCCTACTTTATCAGGAGAAGTTGAATAAAACAATAAATAAGTGGGAAAAATGAAGTTGATCACACGAAAATATCTTGTTTAAAGCACAAAACATCCAAAAATGAGATATGAAACAATACACCCACCTGTACACCCATTCTACTTTGTCAAGAGAAGTTGAATAAAATAATAATAAGTAGAATAAATGAAATTTATCACATTAAAATATATCATTTATAATGACAAAAAATGATTAATATGGTTCAAAGATGAGATATGAAGCAATACACCCATTTGAACAGTCATTTTTTTGCTAAGAAAAGTTGAATAAAATAACAATATATTATAAAAATGAAGCTTATCGCAACAAGATATATTGTTTACAATAACAAAATATGATTACATATGATTCAAACATGAGATATAAAGCAATTGACTCATCTATACACTCATTCTATTTTGTTAAGAAACGATGAAAAAAAAAATAATAAATGAAATAAATAAATTTTATCAAATCAAAATCTATCCCTTAAAGTATCATATATGGTTCAAACATGAAATATGAAAAAAATAGTCCTATTTTTAAACTCATTTATATGTCTAATGCTATTTAAATATGAGAAATCAAGCAATGCAAAACAATGGCTAAACTCACATCTATTTTATTTTTGTCAGTAATTTTTTTTACTTTCCATCTTCATAATTAATCTGCTGAGTGTCATATAGATTTATAGTAGACATGCTTCATAAATGTTATTGTCCTTAACATATCACAAAAAATCTTAAACGAAAATCCTAGAACTTAAAGAGAAATGAAAGTGAACGCGTGTATTTGAATAACTCATTTTTCCCAGATTTTGGGCTCATATCGGGCTGGGTTCATTTTTTTTTTTTTTTTTATCAACTAGGTATGTCCAACTTAACCACCACTTATTACTAGAATTTGGACATTAATTTATGTCCGATATAGTTATTATTTTCCTGGCCATTGGTGCCAATAACCTACCTAGAGTGGCGCCAACCAGCCCCACGGACTGCGCTTGTCGCCCCGCCCTCCATGTGAAAAATTAATTCCAGTTAATTTTTCTGACAATTGCATTCCTAAAGCTATTTTCGCCAATCACAAATACTCCTTCAAAATTTGCCATCCTCTCCTTTTGCAGCTTTCCTCCTACCTAAACACAGCCACCTTTCAAACTCGTTCTTCTTTTCTGAATCAAAATTTTACCTTGGTCTTGTTTTGCAGACTCTGCCCTCTTTCCCATCTCCTGATCTCCATCAAAACTCCCATCTTGCTCCGTATTCCTACAGAATCCATCTCCCTTTCTCTTCCCTCTTCTTTGTAAATAGCTTCTCAATCCATCCTTTCGTATTAGCTCCATATCCCTCTCTTTCCCTCTCTTCTTTCCCTCTCTTTCCCAATAATCGAAGGAGAAAGACGGCAATCATCTCCTTAAACCCTTCAATTCAATTTCGATTCCCTCTTTTTGAAGAAAATATTGAGGTGGAGAAAGAGAGGAAGATGGCAGCTAACAGGTTTGCAACCATGCTCCACCGAAACACCCACAGGATGGCGTTCCTTCTAATATACACAGTATTAGAATGGATCTTAATAGCTCTTCTCCTCCTCAGCGCTCTTTTTTCCTTTCTTATCGCCAAGTTTGCCTCTTTCTTTGGCCTGAAGCCCCCTTGCATCTTTTGCACAAGAGTGGATCATCTATTCCAGCCCGGCAAGGGCCAGCGCTTCTGTAAGGATATTATCTGCGATTCGCATGCTGTAGAAATCTCCAAGCTTGGATTTTGCTCCAAACACCAGCGGCTCTCCGACGCCGGCGACATGTGCGAAGATTGCGCCACCTCTGGATTTGGTGAAACCGATCGGAAAGTTGCTTTGCTGTCGTGGATGAAGCAGCGAAGCGCGCTGGAGGAGAAAGATCTGGTTTGCTCTTGCTGCGGCGTGATCCACGAGAGCCGTTCCTATTCTTCCTATACAATTTTACATACGGAACCTTCTGACGTTTTAGAGTGTGCCCAGAAGGATAGATCTGTCAAAGAGGAGACGGAGGGTGAAAAAGATGGCGCTGTTGGTCCAGAGAAGGCTGACCTCGGGAGAGAGATTCCTTCGGCTCATGCTGAGGAGATCGAAGATCAGAAAGAAGAAGCACATGAAAAAGAGCATGATTTCAAAAGTGAGACTTTGCTTCCATCTCCTTGTTATGTGGTGGAGGATGCGTTGGCAACGATCCTCGCCTTTCATCCAAAGAAGACGGTTGATGATGAGCGGATTCTTCCCATTGAATTAATCGATTCTTCCACCATGGTGAGATGCGGTGTTAGAGGGCATCATGTTGATGATAAAATGCTTCTTAGAGATGCGGCAGAGCGGGAAACTGCTAAAATTGATATTGCGGAAATTGCAGAGCAGCAAAGTTCTACAGTTACAATTGACGACGCTGAAGATGTTTCATTTGGTGGTGGCAAAATGACGCATCAAGAAACTATTCATGTTGAGTTGGTGCCGGTGATAAACGCTGAAGAATTTGAAGATCTGCATGGTAAGAGATTTTTAGTGCTTTGTTGTGCTCTAAATTGGTGTAAAACAACTTATTTTATCTATTTATTGTTTGCTAATTTGAAGTATTCGTCTGAATTCTTGTTTTGTTTTTGCCTACATTGAGCAGTATCTGAAGAAGAATCCAAAGTGAATGAGGAGGTTAACTGCGAGATATCAATAGGGAGTGACATATGTGACCAAGAACAAATTGAGCATGCACAAATCCATGAATCCATACCTGAACCAGAATTCCAACAAGATCAAAATTTGGAGAGCTTCAATGAAACAACTGATAGAGAGATAGGTATAAAATTCACTCCATCTACTCTGCCATTTATTTTTTAAGGATGTATGTTCTCCAAATTAGGTCCTGATAGTAGCCTCTCGTTTAAATTGGCTCCAGTAACTGAACCTGAACCGTTGAAGCGAAGTGCTCGACAAGTGAAGCACCTTGCTATTCCTCCAGTTCTTAATGAAATTGTAGAGGAGGGAATGCCTGAAACTCCAACAACACCATACTCTATTGAAGGCTTTCCTGTTTTGCCCAAGAGGTTTCTGTTGGAAAGGAGAGAATCTGGGACTGAATCTTTAGATGGAAGTATTGCTAGTGACTTAGACAGCATGGAGCCATGGACTTTGGAACGTTTGAAGGCAGCTCTGAAGGCTGAGCGTAAGTCTTTAACCGCATTATATGCTGAACTTGAAGAAGAACGAAGTGCCTCAGCTATAGCTGCCAACCAAACCATGGCAATGATAACCAGGCTTCAAGAAGAGAAGGCTGCAATGCAGATGGAAGCACTGCACTACCAGAGGATGATGGAGGAACAGACAGAGTACGATCAAGAGGCGCTGCAGGTCCTCAACGAGCTCATTTTGAAGAGGGAGAAAGAGAAACAGGAGTTGGAGGAGGAGCTTGAGCTTTATCATGAGAAGGTTCTTATGTACGAGGCTAGTGAGAGAAATAAGAACACTGGGAACGAGAGCGTGATTGCATCGGGCTTGTCAATTTCGGAAGATAGTGATGATCTTTCCTTTGAATTCCATGAAGGTGAGGAGAGTAACTGCAGCCACAATGAGAACAAACAAAACACGCCCTCTGCTGAAATTTTAAGCTTTGTGGAAAGTTCAGATACAATGGATGTATGTTTAACTGAATTTGAGGAGAATAGAATTTCCATACTCAAGAAACTCAAAGCATTGGTGGAGAAGCTTTTCAAAATGGATGATAAAGATGAGACTGATGATTCAGAAAGTAGAAAACAGTGTTGGGTTGAGAATGGCCATAAAGTCAATGGAGAACGCGAACTTCTAGGTGATGATATAAACTATGGATCTGTTAATTGTTCTTCACATGATCTGCAAATTAATGGAAAGCTTCGCTGTGAACAAAGGAGCGCTGGTATTCAAGGGAAAAATCTCCTGCCCCTTTTTGATGCCATTAGATTGGAAAGTGAAGAAAAACTTAGCACAAAAGATGACTCCATTGATGGCAGCTCACCCGACTCGATTTCAAAGTTTTCAGTGGGTCTGAAGAAGGTGGCTATTGCTGAGGAGCTAGATGAGGTTTATAAGAGATTGCAAGCTCTTGAAGCAGACCGTGATTTCATCAAGCATTGCATTTCTTCCATGAAGAAAGGAAAGAAGGGGGTGAATCTTCTTCAAGAGATCCTTCAAAACCTTGATGATCTCAGGAGAGTTCAGCTCCATTCCAGGAGTTCCGACTTCTAATTTGAACCAGCAGGTACATTTTTATCTATTTTTGATAAATCCTCTTATTTTACTTTCATGAACGCTGTTTGCTTGGTTGTCTATAAAGTGATGCAAAGTTAATGACATTGCATGCAATTTACTATTCACTTATTTGATTTAGAGTTATGAATTGTCCCACATCGAGAATGAAGTAATATTTGAGTTCCTAATATTATAATAATGACTTCTACTAATTGGCATGACGTTTTTGATTGATAGATATCCAATCAGTGTATTAGGATCAACTTAGTTTCTTGGTGATTACTCTTTTGATAGTTATCAAATATTTCATGAAGTGTGTGGCTCCAATGGATCATTTGTTTCAAAGTAGTAGTGCAATTTCAAACCATTTGTTGAATCACTTGGGCTTTATGATTGAATGTGATTTGGTTTGTAACAGTTGATGGTGCATAAAACTTTTATTTGAATGGGTGTGATAGTCGATGTAAAGAATTCATATTTGTGATGGAGAATGCTAAAATCTATATTTGAGAGGTGATTGTTGTGGACTCGATCAACACAAAATACTTGAGTTATGTTAGAACCACTAGCAATATACTTGTAGCCAAACACTTATTCCTCCACTTTCAATATGGAATTTACTCTCCTCTTCTACTTGTAGCCAAACACTTATTCCTCCACTTTCAATATGGAATTTACTCTCCTCTTCCATGCATCTCAACCTTCAACCACTATATGAGAATCTTTCACATCACCTACCATTCCTCATCAAATGAAAACTTTTAAACATTCCCTTCATGCATCAATAGCACTACTAAACTATTTTGGAGCCCCTATATGAGAATCGCTTATTTTGAACTTTAGTTCAGCATGATAGAATTACTTAGGCCCATAGAAACCACAAACTGCGTGTAATTTTTTATCCAATGCAAACCTTAAACTTGGATACCACTTAAGATGAGCTTTTAAAATAATATATTGGCATCAATCCGCCATTAGCTTTAGTTATAATGGGTAAGAGCAACTCATAGCCTATTAAAAGCTCAAATATTATTTCACTTTTGTTCAAAGAGTTTGCGAGCATTGGGTTTAATCTCAAGTCAAATGATTGAAGTTTTGTATTTACCAATATATTAGACCCAATTTTGGTCCATACATGATTTATTGATGGTTTATTTGATTGGGATATAATGACTTCATTTTTGGTTTACTGATGTTTTGTTCGAGATAGAGTGACTTGCATGGTTTGTGTCTTCCAGTGATTGTGGTCTATCTTTACCATTGTTGAGCTAAGTTAAAGAGCTAAAACTTTCGCGATTACTACGCATAATTTAAAGGGCTTTTGTTGCATGGTAATTAAGAATGTTGAAAAATCTTAGCTTGTGAAGAGTGATAATTAATATGTAAAACTTTCATAAGAGAGAAGATTTGTAGGGCATGCGAGAGTGTTGGATTTATTTACACATCAAATAATTGAAAATATGTTTGTTTTAAACAGAAAATGGTTGCCCTGTCCCAATAAGCTCAAGATTTTTGTTGGAAATAAGTTTGATCGCTAATGTAGGTGGCTAAACTCCCCATTTGATTCACACTTTCTAATAGTAGGATTATTCTTCATTCGTACATGCATCTCAATTGAGGAATGGCCATCCAATAATGTATTGAGTTTAGCTTCTGGCCAATATACTTGTTCACTTAAGTTTAGTTACATTACAATATTATTGACATCACATTATTTACATAACAATGTTATCCCTAAAATGCAGTGCATATTTTTTAATGTTATGTTAAATAGTATAATTATATCTAGGATGACCCTAAGTTGTTTTGTCATTATTTATTTTAGACATAACATTATAGCAAGAGTCGATGAATCAAATTGCCTCTTTTCTTCACAAAAGGATTATATAAAGCAAATGTAGCCAGTGCTTTGATTTCACCACCCAACCAATTATTATATTTTATGCAGGATCTTACACTCTCGATGCCGAGTATTTGGATCTTATTGCTTTGCCAGATGGCGTAAATACTTTTTTAAGAATTGTAAAAGTGACCTTATAAATTTGATAGCCATGTTAATGCCGAAGCGAACCTAGAGTCGGGGATGAAGAAGGAAGTCATGGCAACATCTCCATGCTCTTTTGCTAAGCTTTGTTCAAAGTTGAAGCAGACCACTCATGCGATAAATCTGCTTTTAATTTCCCTGAATTTTTGCGGGGCTGGGGGGTGTTTTTTTTTTTTTTTTTTTTTTTTTTTTTTTTTTTTTTTTTTTTTTTTTTTTTTTTTTGGATTTTGGTCTCCATCCCACCATCTATGGAAGATGGTGGAATGGAAGAAGGTAGTAATGAGCTACCCATGTAATTGGTGCAGTGAAATCATGGCTTCAAAGTTTGCAATGGAGCCATGAATTCCCCTCCCTGGCCTTGTCTCGTACACCAAGCCATAAAAAAGACCGAGAAAAGTAGGTTTAGTGCAGTTTCTTTTGTTTGTTTAAATGATTAGTTTTAGTATTTATTTTTCTTTTTTACTATATATTTTCTTTCCCTTGGGAAGGGAAAGTGTTATGTTGTATGATTCGCTTTGGTTATGAGGTTTGGTTTTGAAGTTGGTATATGAAACACAAACAGTGTATATGTATAATCAGTAAATATGTGTGTGATGTGATGAATATTTTTAATGAACTTTCGGTTAGGGGAGAAAGAATGGCTTCCAGGGTGGTAATGGAGTATTTAATTTTATAACCATCATCATCCTTATTTCTGGGGTGGGAAGAGTATAGATTAAGTTTAGGTGCATAAAGCATTGCATTGATTCGTTGCTTTTTGACAACTTTTTAGGATTTAAATGGTTTTCTTGTACAAAGGCTGGAAATAATATGTGAATTATTCAGAGAATGTGCTCTTCCCATTGTTCTAGGTTTTGCTTTTGAAATTTTTGGTAACTGGGAGGATGTCTTTAGGATTTACTTGGCTTCTTTTAGGCAAAATATATTCTTAAAAATAAAGAAGTTATTTTATTTAAAATGTAAAAAAAAACTAATGATAATTTCAATCCAATTAAATGAGACCACCTGAAACTGGCTATTTACAAATCAACCAACCGCTTTCATTCATTTTTCAAGTTCTTGCTCAAATATCAAAATTTATGGCAAAACTTTAACCCATATTTTTTATTTTATCAAATTCTCATTAATTTGATTGTGGCACGCGTAGATACGACAGTTAGGTACTGCATGTAATTATCCCTAAAATCTAATGAATTTTCAGAACATGGGTTGTTTTGAAACAATCAAATGGGTTATTTCTCCAAAAAGTGGTTTATAGCTCTGCCGCTAATAGAAATAGGGAAAACAGAAGAAATAGTAAAGAAAATTAAAAAACCATAAAAATTATGTGCTTCAGAAACTAGCACTCATATACATGTTCGTGTAACTAGCGATATAAGTTAAGCTAATAATGTGCTTTAAATAATAGAAAATTGAACTAAAGAAATTATAATATTACATGCATACATATTCTTAAAATACTGAAATATTGTGATTTGCCTTAGTTCTTAAGTATGGTCTAAAGGCGTTCAGGGACAAAAAAAAAAGGAAATCTTGGCAGGAGATTCTTGACAGAAAAATAGGCAGATGTTGGCCTTATACTCGGTGAAAATAAAAAGGTGGTTGTGCGCATCCAAAACAGACTTCTAGTATATAATGTCAAACTCTGGCTGCTGCTTTGAGATTTTAGTGATAGATTTGGTTGGAACTCCATAGTTTTAGCTAAAATTCCTGAAATTAGTCAAGCTGAAATTTACAGATGTGGGAAGAAAATTCACTAACAAAATTAATCCAAATAGCTTGAATGTATTTATGTAAAACCAGGCTGCACCAGACTTGCAACAAAAAAGATATTGGCTAATGACCCAAAAATTTGATCGCCTTGCATGAGCAAGCTTTTAACTAGTGATTTGGTTTTGAAGTTTCTAATTCTAATTTTTACAAAAAAAAAAGAATCTCTTAACTAGTTTTGAGTATGAAGAAATGACAAATAACCTCCCTTGAATTATTCTTATGCAAATAATATCTATCTAAGTGACTCTAATGTAATTGACAACGGAGAATAATAATTTTTCTTAGTCTCTCCCAATATTACAGTTAGTCGTCTAACCATGCAAAAACTCCAATGTTTGTAAATTTCCCTACACAATTGCACTCCTAGAACAATGTAGATAACATAATTATCCATTAGCATTCTTCTGTAGTACTAAACCATAACCTATTTTTACATCCTAAGTAATCAGTTTATGAAGTATACTAAATTCAAAAGGTTAAACTATCAACTTATAATAAAATTAACATGTAATCAGATAACAAAGATTTCACTAACTTGTATAACAATCAATTTAGGAGAGAGAAATGTTTAAGTCATATTTCTTTACGTATGAAAACAACACAAATTCCATTACAAAATTCAAAATAAACAAAGTTAAAACAATCTCATCTAAGTTCTTCCTTGAATTGCATGAACTTACATCATAATCTCTATCTTTTCACCCAATTTGAGTATAATCACACACTTGTTCTCACTTGGGAGAACACACACACACACACACACTCACTCACTCTCACACTCTCTTCTGAGGATCCATCCATCGAAGTGTGTTGACGACTGCAAGCATTCTCCAGCACTCACTTCTGATATGCGTCCTCTTCCTCTCAGTGCCACTCCAAGGGTCAAGCATTTCAAAGAAAACATGGTGGAAGAGCCCTGGTTCACTAGAAATCCACAGATAGCCACACTAATAAAAAACTATCGTAACTCAAGTTGGTTCACCAGTGCTAGTGTCCTTCTGAGAACACCAAAGTCTCCCTTGATTGGTGTTGTGCGTCTTGGAGCAAGCTAAAGGCTTCCTTGAAGTGGCACAGAGGTTCTCTCCTCTCTTCTTGTGCCATGCATGAAAGTTAGTAGGGACAACATACCCACACCACCTCATCAGTGCACTAGCATGATGGTGGCATAGCAATGCTATAAGTTGCGTAACTACGACACATATTGGTGGTGCCTACTTGGCACCATTAAAGCGCTACCTTGGTTTCCCATATTTGGTTAGACTATCCATTGTGCTTTGCATGTGATGCCTTGTTGCCTTAAGTGTCGCGCCAATGTGCCAAACTCGTGGTTAGATATGGCATAGGAGGCACATGGAACAGTTATGTTTGAGCTACCTTTATGTGTTAGCTCTTATGCATCATTAAGCACTCATGAACACATGTAGTCTGCAATTACGCACAAAAGTACATTTAAAAATTCTTTCGGAAAGCACGAAAATGGCGCAAAAGATCTCATACAAGTGTGGTGGTAGCAATGAAAAATCTCATTTTTAAAGCATGAAAATAGTGAAAAAAATCTCCTACAAAAAATACGATGGGAAAGCGCGACAACAACGCAGGAAATCTTCTATGAGAAATGTGATATCAGCGTTGAAAATTTTTTCTAAAAAATGTCACGGCATGACAAAAAATCTCCTATGAAAAGTGCGGCAGTGCCAAAAATATCGTATAGAAACTGTAATCGCAACGTAACAGATCTCATATGAAAAGTGTGATAGCAGCGTGGAAAATCTCCTCTAAAAAGTGCAATAACAACATAAAATCTCCTAAAAAATCACCACATTTGTGTGGGACATCTCCCCAAAAAAGTGTGATAGCAGCATGGGAAATCCCCTTCGAGGTGGATAACAGCAACACGAAAAGGGGGTTCTATTGTTCACATAATGACAGGTTGTGAGACTCTGCATTTTTTTTCTTCTGAGAGCTTTGTTGATCGCATAAAAATAGATTGGAAGATTTCCATGGGTGTAATTGCAACACTAATGGAAGTTTAGTTGATCACACAATGACTGGTTAAAAGACTCCCATCTTTTTTTCTTCTGGGAGCTCTATTGATCACACAAAAATAGGCATTGAGACTCAAAGTAAACAATTGTAATGCCAAGCAGAGCTCCTTTGATTTCATAATAACAACCTAGGAGACTCGACCTTTTTTCTTTTAAGAGCTCCATTAGTCGTAAAAAATAGGTTGGGTACTCTGAGGTGGGTAGTAGCACACTAAAGAAAAGCTCCATTAATTACACAAAAACAGGTTCGGAGATCACATTCTTTCTTTTGGAAGCTCTGTTGATCGAACAAAAATAGGTTGGTTGACTCATAGGTGGGCAAATAAAAGGTCGTGGGGAGTTTCGTTGATCGCACAATAATAGGCTAGGAGAGTCCACCTTTTATTTGAAAGCTCAGTTGATTGTAGAAAAGCAGGCTGGTAGACTCTGAGATGGACAACTGCGACACTAAGGGGAGCTCCATTGATTGTACAATAACATGCTTGGAGACTCCACCTTTTTTTTTATGGAGCTTTGTTGCTCCAACAAAAAAAGGCTGGGTGACTTCACCTTTTTACTTCTGGGAACTCCATTGATCGCACAAAAATGAGTAAGAAGACTCTCAGGTTAGCAAGTGAAACGTCAGGGGAAGCTCCGTTGATCACACAATAACAAGCTAGGATACTCCATCTTTTTTCTCCTAAGAGCTCCGTTGGCCGCTCAAGAATAAGCTGGGATACTCTAACTTTTTCTCCTCTTCTGGCTTATTTATAGGCTTAAAATGGTCGAATGATAAAAAAAAAGTAATATGAAAATTATCCAATTATGGTTTGGCCCTTGGATGTTGATGTGGCCCCTTATCCTCCATCACATCGCTCCCACCTTTCACCATATGATCATACATTCCATAGATCGTTGACATGGCAACCATGTCTATTTCCTCCAATCACTGTCACTGGACATCACCACCGACGACCTCTGCATTTGATGTCACAGATGGCCCTAACCTCTGACAGTCGGCTAGCACTGCAAGCACCACTGTAGCTCGGGGCATCGATCATCGCCACCTAGATTCAACTCTGACAGCCACTACTTGCCTCCACCTACGGCCGCTACTGCCTACGATGGAATAAATAGTTCAATGTTTTGAAAGACGATGGATTCGAACCCATGACCTCACTCAAGTGAATCTAACTAGATGAGAATTGGAGTAAGAAATTTTCCTTATATAAATATACGTGTGTATGTATTTTACTTTTGAATTTTGGTATCATTGGACAATGAAGTTAGTGTTGCTAAAAAATAAGGGGGAAGTTGATACTTAGATAACAATTTTTCATCATTCGGCACAAATCTTGTGGCTTTGCATAAATCTCAAGGTAATTTTTTAGCAAAGAATGTTCAAAGTTCAATTAAAAATCATCCAGAAATAAAATTTCAACAAATTTACAATCAAACTGACTAGCTCGATGAGACGAAAGCACTGATACAAAAATTAATCAAATTCAAGTCAAATCAAGCCCAAATCGAGTTGTTAAGCTATCTTTGGAAGCTTTCACTACCCAATGGACAGTAAATGGATTCCAAATCAAAGAAGCATGTGGTCAAATCAAACATCTCAATAAGATGAATCCAATTAAAACGACCTACGTAACCAACTGCAATAGCCTATTTGACTAACTACAACCTACGTAATTATCTATGACCTATATGATTCACAACTTGTGCAACTCCAAACTCAGACCCCAACTACCTACGAATGTTATCCCAACTCATCACTACGACATATATAACAAACTATGACCTACGTGGTTCACAGCTCATGCAACTCCTAACCCCAATCTCTGTAGCCTATGGATATTATCTTAAATTACCTCTACGTTCTACGTGGCTCACGACTCCAACATCTCCCTACTACGACCTCTATGGCTAATCGGAGCTTCCGATGCAACCATCTATGGGTTGCATATCCATCGACTGCCATGACATTCAACTACGACCTGTATGATAAATTGGTGCTACAACGTCTATTGTCTACATCATTCATGGCGGCGTGTTGCCTTCATAACCATTGACTATGACTTTACCAGCTCATTCTAGCTATTATTGTTGAACTATATTGTATATATACTTTGTAATTCAATTTTCTCTAATTTTAGGGAATGGTGGCCATGTGTACTCGCCATACATAGGAGATTATTTTAACTCGACTAGACCCTGTGGTTTTTTTCCGTTTTATAAGATTTTTCAAATAAAAATTGAGGTGTCTCATTCTTCTTATTTTTCTTTAATTACCAGAGCATGTGTTTCATTTTCGTGAAAACAATGATCGTTCTATCATCGCAAACCTTCCTCATACATCAATATTTTAAGAATTGTTATATAAGATAACGAGGGCAAAATTTATTTTTTAAGAATTTATTAAAAAATCCTCATTAATATTTGTTAATACAATTTTTTCAACAAAAAACCGAATAGAGAATATAATTTAGAAACCCCATAATAAACTTCTTTAATAAAAAAGAAGTTCTTTACACTGGCCCTCCTCGAGCATCGAAATCATCGAATTTTATTCCGTCAATTTTCCGGGAACTCAAACAGCGAGGCCCGCACATCTCCTGAAGCGTCAATATTCCAAGCAACTGGCACGGCTGTTAAAACTGTTCATTGATCACGAACAGTTCGTCATCTACGCTCGATATATAAAGGAGCCAAACACCAATAAGAATTTTCAAATGTAACTGATAAAAATCAAATCTTACCGCAAAATCAGCTCTGAAGTTTGCAGCCTGATCTCAATGGGGCTCTCCTCCTGCAACGACATCAAGCAAACTATCAACCCCCTCACTTCCTCCTACAATGACCAAATCCGCCCCGTCCTCGACGCCGTCGACCGCCTACGCCAGCTCAAAGTAACGCAGGAAGGAATCCAGCTACCGACCATCGTCGTCGTCGGCGACCAATCCTCCGGCAAATCTTCCGTACTCGAATCCCTTGCCGGTATCAGTCTTCCCCGCGGCCAAGGGATATGCAACCGAGTCCCTCTCATCATGCGGCTCCAAGACGACCCCTCTCTTTCTTCCCCTATACTCCATCTCGAGTACAGGAACAAGCGCGTGCTCACTTCCGAGTCAACCATCACTGCTGCCATTGAGTCCGCAACCGCTGAGATCGCCGGAGTAGGAAAAGGAATCTCCGACACACCCCTTACCCTCGTCGTCCGAAAGAAAGGCGTACCGGACCTCACCATGGTCGACCTACCCGGTATCACTCGTGTGCCCGTACGCGGCCAGCCTGAGAATATATACGAGCAAATTGCTTCCATTATTATGCAGTATATAACGCCTGCGGAGAGCATTATTCTTAATGTGCTCTCCGCCGGCGTCGACTTCCCGACGTGCGAGTCCATCCGGATGTCCCAGCAGGTGGACGGCAAAGGGGAGAGGACGCTGGCGGTTGTCACGAAAGCTGATATGTCGCCGGAAGGCCTTCTTGAAAAATTAGCTGCCGACGATGTCAACATTGGGCTGGGTTACGTTTGTGTGAGAAATCGTATTGGGTCGGAGTCTTATGAGGAGGCTCGAGTTGCAGAGGCGAAACTGTTCGAGACCCATCCTCTGCTTTCCAAAGGAGATGCTCAGGAAGCTGCTAATAAGAGGAGAATTCGATGATTTTCCAATTGATAAACAAATGCATGGCACTGCAAGGCTATCTGAAATGCTGAATGCTTATGCAAAAGAGTTGCCAAATGATATCCCGATGAATAAGAAGTTTTTCTTAATGGAAGAAATTGAGCTGTTGGAAGAGAGCAGAGGCATTTGGCTTCCCAATTTTCTCCCTAGAACAGCTTTTTTGACCCTTCTTCAGAGGAAGGTAAAGGAGGTCTGGAGCATCCCGCAAGATTTTGTAGAGAAGATATGGACCTATCTCGAAGATTTAGTTTTACGAGTTCTTGAGGAGGCATCGGAGAATTATCCACCTCTTCGGGCTTGCAGTAGAAGGGCGGCACAGAATCTTTTTGAAAAAATGAGAAAACGCTCTATCCAGAATGTCAAAGAAATCGTAGAAATGGAAATGTTTACGGACTATACTTTTCATCCTGATTATATGAAGATGTGGACGGAGCTCATGGTGCCTCAAAAGTCTTTCATGGAGTTTGTTCTCAATACCAACGAACCAACAAAGATGATCATGAAGGTTGTTGGTGAAGTGGATGTGGCTCATTTGCGGGGGAGGCGTGATGTGGTTGTAGAACAAGCGTTTGATATGAGGATGAGGCTCATTTCTTATTGGAAATTGTGGTGCTGAGGTTGGTGGATGGTTTAGCTCTGCATGTTATTTACGCTGTGAAGAAACTAGTGGATAGTGAGCTTGAAGCAGCGATTGTGAACGAGGTGGTTCGTCGTGAGAAGATGGAGGTGATTGAGAAAATATTGGAGGAGCCTCCAGCTGCCGCGGTGAAGAGGGAGCGGTTGAAGAAGAGCATTCAGCTGCTCAAGGAATCGAAGGACGTGGTGGCCAAGATTATGGACAGGATTTCTCTTAATGGTGCCGATTAAGTGGTAGTTTCGTGTTTCTGTGTTGCTTATTTTAATGCGCTGATTGTGGTAATTGTGAGACTAATTTTGAATGAGACTAATTGGTAATTTGAATTGATTACATAATTAGTGGCTTCATAATAGGCATGAGTTAATTAGTGGAACAAATATAGAAGATATGATCATAGATTAATTTTGAATTAAATATAGGAGATATGCCAATATCATTAATTTTGAATTTGAATCTTAAATTCAAATTCAAAATTCAAATATGTGTAATCAATTCAAATAGGCGCGAATTGATGACACTTAATTTTCTTGCCTTTATTATGTACGTTTCCTGTTTTGTTTCGGTGTGTTTTAGTTAGTATATAATTAGGTATTTTGTTGCATTGTAAAACACTCAGACTAGTCATTTTGTCTGAAATCACTGTTACTATCGTATCTTGATATGGCTGGGTTTAAGTGCTCGTTCTTGAGAGCTTAAATTTATGTTCTTTGTTGTTCTCCTGCTCAGTTATTCTCCTGCTCTCTCTCTCTCTTGTACTACATTATTCTGCTATCATCTGGTAATTGAACCCCTTTCTGGCGAAAATTTTGTGGCCACGGCTCAGATAAATCGGACCAATTTTGGACCTCCCGTGGACGATCCACGAGACGATATCCCTCTCTCTTGGCTCTTCTTCTTCCTCGCATGGCCGCTCGACCTCTCGACTCTCCAATCGTGGGAGCTCAGCTGGCTCTTCTTCTTCTCGAGGCTTTATTTTCTCCTTCTTTATGGTGACGATTCACTCCCGTTATTTGATTCGACCACCAGTGAGGCTGGTAGGTGGCTGTCATCCTCTCGTCTCTGCCTATAAAAAAACTTCCTAGAGTACTGTTTTGGTTTGTTGAAAATTTTGAGAGGGAAAGGAAGACTGAGATTGTTTGGTTAGTTGTTGTTTAAGGCTCTTAGGGGAAGACTCTGCCGAAATTCCTTCTCGGCTAGGTTCTTGTGTGCTGAAGTGTTTGTTGGTTGCTGTTTCTCGAAGCTTTTAGGATGAAGGTTTTTGTAGGAGGTGTTTTCTTGAATCTGTCTTATAGTTTTTGCTTTGAGTCTGCGTTAAGAGGTATTTCTCTTCTTTCCTCTAATATGCACCATTTCGGATGACATCTAAAATTTCTTTTATCTTTTAAAGCATGTGGAAGCAAGATTTGGGCTTGTTTTGAGATTTAAGCATGAATAGTTCCTGAAAAACATTAAAATGGAGCATAATATGGCTGCTTACTTTTCTTTTTCTGCTTAAGATACATGATGAATAAGATTTCTTTTTGGAAAGTTTTAGTTGTTATTCTATGGAATGCATGCTAGGAAGAAAAATGCAAGGTTGAAGCTTCTTTTATATATATATATATATATATATATATATATATTTATCCAAGTCTCAATCGGTTTGATTGTGTTTGATAGTTCAAAAATATCACCTGAGTGTTATAGATTTTGTAAATCTCAATCTTTCGGGTGCTATTTATGAAATTATCCAAATAAGAAAAGATAAATTAAGAGCTAACCTATATTATTTATGTTGAATATTGATCTCGAATTTGGGACCCATAGGATATGATTATATCAGATTTAATATAATATGTAATAATTAAGGAATTTAAGAATCTAAGAAATAACAAAGAATTGGCATTATGATTGACTTAAAATTCTAGATTAAAAAGTAATTTGAATTCAATTACGCCTGAACAAACTTCATTCCTCTATATGCTTCACACAAATTAATAGCAATAAGGGTCATTTACACACACACACAACCAAATTTTGATGTATTTACATATCTAATACATAAACTACATTTTTTATAGTTGTAGTACCTTAGTTTATCCTGTCTTGGGAGAAAGTTGATCATTTGTTGATCTTTATTGTAGTATCTTGTTCATTTATATCTTTCAGATGTTATTCTACATTGAAGAGGGGGCAAGAACTTTCCCAAAGGAGACAAATCATCCTACAAAATTTCCAATATAAACTGTAAATTAGTGCTCATAAACCTATGCATAACAAGCATACCAAAAATTCTGAAAAATAAATTAACAATGTTTATATATATTTTATTCCACAGTTTTACTGGTTGATCAAGATAGGTGAAGGTACTATTGACTTAGCTATCATGCAAACTTCAACTTTACAACAAATCATATGCAAAACCATTTATAAAATTCTAAAAAAAAAACTAAAATAATGAAAGAGAGCTCAACATTCTCCCCTCAAAATGTTACTCTACATTGAGGAGAAGGCAAGAGCAAGCAATTCAACCAACAAAATTTCTCATAATAACTGTAAAAATAAATAATGCTCATATAGCTATGAAAAAAATAAATAAATTCTAAAATAAACATACCAGCAATGCACATATATATTTTATTATATTGCTTATGTTGGTTGATAAGATCATGTAAAAATGTTGCTAACTTATCTATCATGCAAGCTTCAACTTTATAATAAAGCATATGCAATTTCACTTATAAAAGTCTAAGAAAAACTAAAAAAAAATAGTGTTCAGTATTCTACCCTCAAAATGTTACTCTACACTGAGGAAGAGGCAAGAACAGGCAATTCGAACAATAAAATTTATCAGAGAAACTGTAAAAGATTACTCATGTAGCTATAAAAAAATTCTGAAATAAACAGATTAAAAATGCTCATATATATTTCATTCAATTGCTTTCACTTGTTGATTAGAACAGGTAAAGATTCTGCTAACTTATCTATTATGCAAACTTCAACTTTGCAACAAAAAATATGCAATTCTATCTCTGTGAATACGGTGATGATCCAGAAAATCTCTACGATGAACTAACCGTTATAGAAAGATGACCCTCAACTTTACTTAACACTTATTTACTATGTGTAGCTCATTTGGGCATGGGTTGATCAGAACCTAGAGAGTCATACGATCGATCAAAAGAGAGCGAGTCTGGGAAGAGACCTCAAGAGTGAGAACATGGTTTGCTTACACTCGTCTAAATGCTACATTTATTGGATTGTCTATTTGAAGTGAGTTCATTCAGCGTACTTTACATCAGAAAAGGAAGGAGCCTTTCTTTGAGTTAACTCCTCCACCTCCTTCCTTCTACAAGAAGAAGACAAAGGGTTCCTTAGTCGACTAGGTTCCCTCTCAAAGCTAGGGGCAAAAATTTGGAAAAGCTAAGATGGTACGATGGCTTACCATTGGTTGGAGTCTACTTATCAATATTTGTGGAGGTGATTTGGTTCCGAGCCTTTGTCGAGCCCCTCCGGAAGTTGGAGCATCTTCAGATCTACCGAAAAATGGACTGTTATCTTCTTAAATAGTAGGAGGCTTCCCAAATCTCTTCGATGGTGCTTGAATGAGCAGAAATGAAGTAGGTTGCCCTTCAAAGAGAGCAGAGACCTCGGCTATGCTTGTCAATGAAGCAAAGAAGAAAGCAATGATAGCTGAGCGGAAGCTGGAAGCAGCGGAGGAGAAGATTTCTACTTTATTCGAACTTATGTTGATTGCCCAACAAGGAACTCAGAAGCTAAAAGCAAAGGAGAAGAATATGAAGTCTAAATAGGAGTCTTTTGAGGTGCTTCCCTTTTATCCATGGCATGCGAAGATTTTGAGCGAGCAGCTTAAGGACGGCAGTGTCACGATGATTGACTGGTTTATTTGGTCGAACCTTATCTACTGAAAGTTTGCAGACTTGGATGAAGTTGTTGTGTTGTTCATTAGCTCTGAAGGATCTTCAGGAGACAACTCGAACATCAGAGGCAATGAAGGGTCCTCCATTCTAAACTCAAGTTGGCCTTCTATAACTAAAGAAATTTTTCTTAGAAATACATTGCAAATATTTATTTTTTTAAGCAAACTCTTTGAATGGATAAACTTGTATTTTTGTATTTAGAAATGAATGAAGTAATCACGTCATTTTTATTTACCTTTGCTTCTTTTGTTACTTTACCGTTATTGCCCTATTTTTCTGTGATAATTAATCGGTGATGAATGTTGGTCATTTTTGATATGTCACGTCCTTGAACAAGTCTTATACTATCTATCTAATTTGCTCTGCCATCTTGACGCCTCGCTACGGATCATGTCATTGCCTTCGTAGGGGTAACCGACAAGGCTCACTGTCGGGGTGATTTGCGGCGTACCCTTTACGGAGCTTGTCACTATTGGACATGGAACAACCTTTAGAGCTTTATCCATGTTGAGCTGAGATATGGACCTTTTGATGCTTCATGTTGATGATTAGACTTGTTGATATGATACCAATTTGAATTCTATTAGATTTGTTGTCGGTTGTCGTTATTATTTTCTATCGATCGGATTTCTAGTCGATTTATTTTATGATATTGACACCTAGCATGCATCTTAAACTTTTTCAAGTCTCGGTTGCTTGGTTGGATTGTCCCCTCTGTTGGGTCGCTCGTTTCACTACTTAGGTGGATATTGTCGCTTCCTTCATGAGGGTTATCGTCGTGACTCGTTGCTGGGGTGATTTATCTTGTATCATTTGTGAAGCTTGTCGCTAATAGGCAGAAAACTACCTCAAGAGCTTCATCTCATTTCAAGCTTGGAGATAAGGTTTACGATGTGGGAGCTTTATATGATTCAAGCTTACATAGGGTGTGTTTGGGAGGGCGTTTTTACAGCGGTGGCGTTTTGGAAACGACACCTCACGTTTGGAAAATACGTGTTGGATATGTTTGATAAAACAGAGGTTCCATTTTATTATTACACGTGGATCACAGGGTCCTACTCGTGATCTGCGTTTCATTGTATGGAAAGGCTCTCGATGCCCCTCGTCGCTCCTCTGCCCTAATTTTGCAACCAGGTCTCACGCACTGCGGGATTCTCCCATCTCCTTCGTAGAACCCTAATCGAGTCCCTAGTGTTATGTTTTTTAGAATGTTACTTCTGTTATGTTTCTTTGAATGTCCACAATTTCATCTTCCTGAGAATGCTAATCGAGCCCCTGAAGGATTTCTATCCCATTTCACATGTTCATGA